TGCATCCGCGGGCCCACTCCACAGCAGTAGCGAATTGTGGGTAATCTGGGGATACCTTAAATATCCGAATTTGTTTTCGTACGCATCCGCGGGCCCACTCCACAGCAGAAGTGAATTGTGGGTAATCTGGGGATACCTTAAATATCCGAATTTATTTTCGTACACATCCGCGGGCCCACTCCACAGCAGAAGTGAATCGTGGGTAATCTGGGGATACCTTAAATATCCGAATTTGTTTTCGTACGCATCCGCGGGCCCACTCCACAGCAGTAGCGAATTGTGGGTAATCTGGGGATACCTTAAATATCCGAATTTGTTTTCGTACGCATCCGCGGGCCCACTCCACAGCAGAAGCGAATTGTGGGTAATATGGGGATATCTTGAATATCCGAATTTGTTTTCGTACGCATCCGCAAATTGTTGAAATTACAGTCGCCACAAGAGGGCGCACCCCGTAAATAGCCATATACGTACATTGTACGTACTACATTGCCTTTGCGCGTTGCATAAGCAAATGTCTGCTCGGATTCGTGACTGTACTGATTTTTGCTGATTGGAAACTTTGCGTATCAGACAAGAAGTTGGTTCACATACAACCTTCGCCGGTGTCAAAACCGAGCATCTCTCAAAGATCCACTTCTGTATTTTCGACGGATCCGCAGAGCAGTTCCGGCAGCAGTAGTGCCTTGTGGGTAATCTGAGAAAACCCCGGGGGAGATTCAAACTCAACGGTCACTTTCAGTGTACCGGGGACATCGCCCTATACGTCGCCCGGCGAGGGCACAAAGCCGCCAGGCATGTCATGACACGTTGCAGACTCGCCTGACGAACAGTTCAACTGGACCATAAACCGACTGCATAAGACTGTTGACGGCATATAGAAGTGAGTAAACCCTTCGAAACTCTTTTAATTAGTATGATCATTATGGTTTCAGATCATTTCTGACGAAAGTTTGGAGCAACTCAACTTCGCAACTCACATCTGTGGCCTTTATCTGACCTGTTGTTCCCAAATGTAAAAGCTCCGGCCTTCTCACGGGGGGGTATTTCACATGTCAATGCTGGCTCGCATAACAATGCCTGCTGCTGGCATCCGGGCCGCTGGGGAGACTGTTATGGCCTGTTATCCTAACGGTTTTTAGCACATTCTGGCCAAAATGCCATTTTTACACTGTACTTGTTTTCTGTTGTTGTATTTTTTCGTAGGTCAGAAGCGACTGATAGAACGTGGTAAGACTGCAGCGCAGACTTCTACAAAGAAGATGGACTGTGAGACGATCATCCTGGCGAAGCAAGACGTGATACAGTAGTTCTAGTTCTACCTGTTTAGTACTGCAAATATTTATTTTACATATGGTACATGACATTGTATTCGTATAGTTAATTCTCTCTTTTTGTCGCTTTACACAGTATGTGCGGAGTTTTAATAAAGGCTTTCAGGCTAAATCTATTTATTCGTTTATTCCTTCATTTAATCTAATTTAATTGCTTGTTGGATCTGCACGTATACATATCAAACAGGGGCGTATCCAGGGGAGAGTGGCGTAAGGATTCGGGAAGATCCGAGGTACGGATAAAAAAATCCAAACGCCGGCTCTGTTTGCATCCGAGGCAAATGCAGAGAAATGTGTATGGAAATCCAATAGGGATACGGGAAAATCACAAGTTGTATCTGTACGCATCCGTGTAAAATACCGACGTCTGCACGTGGGGATATATCGCATATCCGGCAAAATCCCTATTAAAAAAATTCGCATCCGTAGAAAATCCCGCTTTTTGCATTCTTTGGGATCCGGACAGTCCAGGTTACTCCAGGAGGTGTACAAAAAATCCCTAAAGAAACAAATTGGAATCCGCGGAAAATCCCGCTTTGGAATGCTTTGGGATCCGGACAGTCCAGGTTACTCCAGGTGTACAAAAAATCCCTAAAGAAACAAATTGGAATCCGCGGAAAATCCCACTTTGGAATGCTTTGGGATCCGGACAGTCCAGGTATACAAAAAAATTCCCAAAGTAACAAATTGGTATCCGTGAAAAATCCCATTTTGGGATATTTAGGGATCCAAACGTTCCGGATCCCTAAGAATGCGAATTTAGGATATTTTACGGATCCTACCCGTATCCGTTTGCATCCGCTTGTATCTGCTAAAAATGCGTAAATACCCCTGTGCGCATATGGCTTCATTCGAGGCCTTTTCGCCCAGTGGGAGATTACCAAATGCTATGATAGGAGCTATGAAGTCAACACACAAAGGCTGGGTTAATATTTAAACATGAATTTTGAACTTTTAATCAAACCACTGCAAACTGGAAGAAAAGGACTTTCCTCAACTGTTGGGGGCAAAATATGAGCATAATTGAGTTGATTCAGAACCAGAACCTTTTTTTTTGCAAATCAGAAAAAAATGAAGAGGCGAATCCCAGAACCAACAAATTCAATTGGTGTGGCCTGAGGTTACGGCCTGATAACTGTGGGAAATGGAGCCTTCTGATTGTTTGCCATCTTCTGGCTATATGATAGTCAGAGTTAACAAGCCAGGGGGCTTATTCATTAGAATTTCGGATTCTGTAGTTCTGAGTTTGGACCCCCTAGCAGCTTGTTCTGGCACTGCAGGACAGTTTGTTTAAAAAATCAAAAGAGGATAACTAAAAAACCTGTTGACGGATCATCGTGATTTTTGACAGCACAACAGTAATTTTTTCGTGTAAAATCAATATTCCTGGCCTGTTGGTCAGGGGTGCACCGCCCGCTCAAATTTCCTGTTTTTTAACTACAGGATTCTACTTGAAACATCTGACAGTTTTCAAAAGTTATCCAGTTACATGTCTTCAGTAACATTTTCTATTTGCATAACATATCATGCCTTTTAATCAATCAACTTGTGACTCAGGACTTGGTAAGTGTGGTACTCACATTCATGTTGACTGTAAGGAGGCCGACTAGACCTGATCCACACCAGGATCATAAACAGGATCAGCGGCCAGATGATCTCAATCAGCAGCCGCACCTGGTGATGACAAAACAAAAATACAAGTTCATAGTCATATGCATGACAAACTACTAAAACTAAGACTGTCTTAACACTGAGGTCATCAAATCGCAATCTACATGTAGGCCACATTTTATGGATGACAATCCTCCGCAGACTCCAAATCTAATGCGAGCGGGCAAAAAAAAACAAGGCGCGCCGAAAAAACAAGGTTGACCTACATTCTCAAATTTTGACTGAACTTCCGATTTTGATATCTCATGACCTAGAGTCTAGATATGCTAGGGTCACAAAATCTAAGTGATAGGTAGCTCTTGTGCTGGGGAAGAAGTGACGCGAGTTCAATAATGTTCAAAAGATGATAACTCATGAACCAGTGTTGACAGGTCGTGTGTGGGAGGGGAATAGGTCAATTTTTGGTAAGGGGATGTGGTGAAGCCATTTGCTGCATTTGCTCCCGAGCAAATGTCGGCCTGTCTAGTTTTCTTTAGTCTGTTAGGAGCTGAATCAAATACAGTCAAACCTGTACAAGCCGGCCACCCAGGGGACCAAAGAAAAGTGGTCACCTTGGACAGGTGGACTCTGCTTGAAGAGGGTCACCTCACAAGATGACTGGAGACATACATGTAATTATGGTTTCCATTAGTCAAGATGTTTTATATCAAATGCTGAGGGGAGGGTGGCACATGGAACAATTTACGTCCAACAAAAACATAATCCAGCAGTCGAGGCAAACTGCTTAGTTTCTGTATGATTTCTCATTAGTTATTATCAATAATCAACATGATCGAAAATGATGTGGTCACCATGGGCAGGTATCAGGCCTTAAGTGGACCCAACTCAGGGCGGTCGCGTCGGCCAGGTGGTTACCTTGGACAGGTAGCTTAATGCTTGCGTCTTGCTTGCGTCAAATTTTTTGAGACCAACAAAAAGCAGTGTTGGCAGGTTTGACTGTACAAAATTTTGATGTGATGTTATTGACTTGATGTACTGTTTTACTCTCATAGTATGTATAACTCTTAAGGGCTTCTGGAAGAGGGCTTCTGAAATGTACAAACCAAACACCCA